AGAAGTGGCGCTGTGGCTCAAGTGGTAGAGCACTAGCCTTGAGCTGAAGAGCTGAGGGACAGCACCCAGGCCCAGAGTTCAGGCCCCATGACTGACATAAAAAAAATTATTATAAGAAATATTAATATAGTTTGATTATTTTATTTGATTGGAACATTATACCATGATAAATTGACTGTTATTGTAAAAAAGATAATTAGCTTAAGAGAGTTGAAGCAGAGAATATTTTTGTTTTGTCATGGGGCTTGAATTCAAGGCCTGCATGCTGTCCCTGAGTTCTTTTGCTCATGGTGAGCATGAGCACTCTTCCAATTTGAGTTATAGTGGCTTAATTCTGGTGGTTAATTGGAGATTAGAGTCTCATGGACTTTCCTGTCCAGGCTGGCTTTGAACTTCGATCCTCAGATCTCAATCTCTGAGTAGCTAGGATTACAGGTGTGAGCTACTAGTGTCTGGCTTAATATTTTAAACTCTTTTTGTTGTTGTTGTTGGTTATGTGGCTTGAACATTTTAAACTCTTACAAGATAAGATTATCTTAAGGAAAAACTTACCTGCCTGTAGCTTATTAATGTAATTTAAGCAAAAATAGGTTTTTTTTTTAAAGCACAAATGAGAATTCAAGAAGGATGTGACATTTCAAGTTACATCTACGAATACAAATTCTATTTTTGTCTATTTTTGAGTGAATTGCTTTGGTTGGGGGTAAAATCTAGTTTTTTGTTTTCTTTTGGTGTTTGTCACTGATTTTTACCAAGGCCCATAATTCTAAGATTAGAAATATTAGGTGAAAATCAGCATGCTTTGATTTCCTTTGTTATGATGTGAGATTACAATTAGCTATTTTATTTTATTCATTTATTTGATAGGGTTTGAACTCAGGGCTTGGTGCTTGCTAGGCAGATGCTTTTATGCTAGTGAATCCCATCCAGCTCAACACTTAACTATTTACATTAGACAAGAAAACAAATGGAAAAAATTGGGACTGATGAATGATAAATTTAAATTTTTCGGAGTTCAAGTTAATATACAAGAATACAGAAAGAGAAATGACTCAACAGAAAACATATAGACTTTATTTCCATAATGTATTTTATCTTTGAAGCCGAAGCTGAAGATGAAAGGATTGTTCTTGCTGACAACAAATGTCAGTGCACCCGTATTACTTCCAGGATCATCCCGTCTCCTAAGAATCCGAATGAAACCATTGTGGAGAGGAATATCCGGATTGTGTATGTGGATTTTTTTTCTTTCCTTCCTTGTACCCCCCCCTTCTCCCTACCTAGCTCTACCCCTCTACACCCCCCCCCCACACTGTAAACAGATACCTTCCTTTGTTAAGGATTGTTTAAATGTAATTTCTATCCCTTTTTCTTTCTTTCTTTTTGTGCTTGTACTGGGGCTTGAATTAAAAGGCCTCACCCTCCCCGTTAGCTTTTCACTCAAGGCTGGCACTCTACCACTTGAGACAGCACTATTTCCTGCTTTTTGGTAGTTAATTACAGAGTCTCATGGATTTCTCTGCTTGGGCTGGTTTTGAACCACGTTCCTCAGATCTCAGTCTCCTAAGTAGCTAGTGAGAGCCACTGGAATAGAAATGATTGTAAATGAAGGAGTGATGATATGGATGAAAAAATTAAAAGGTAACAAAACCATCTGAGCTAGTTGATAATCACTATTTATCATTGGATATCACCATGAAAATATTTCTACTTTGCTACATAAATGTTAATTGACCTATTTGAGTAACCAGCCTCTCTTGTTTATACTTTTCACATCTTTAAATTATGGGTAGTAATATTATCTGCTTGTATGTCTCTCCAGCATTAAACATACTTCACATATCACACATCTATTGAGGCAATGGAAATAGATAGATGTTTTGTATAAGTACTTCCATAGTGTAGGACAACAACCACTCTAAAGAGAAAGTGTTTTAATTGCATTAACAAATGAGATTAACATTAATAAATGTATGTGATCTTTTATGAGACTATGGAGGAAGACAATTACTGGGAAGGAATAAAATTAAGGTCAATACCACAAAAGTATAAAACTTGAGCTAGGTTTTTAAAGGAAAACCAGAGATTTGCTAAGTAAGCATAAAATAATCAATAGAGAAATTAATTTCAGGTTTATTTTGAATGTGAAGTGTTTTATTGATTTTTGTTATCTTTAAATGGTTGTACAAAGGGTTGCCATTTAATAAAGCATTTTATGAATACAATAAATCTTGATCTATGTCACCTCTTTCAGCATTCTCTTTGACCTATTCCCTCTCTTTCTTTTCTTAATTTCATACTATGTACAATGAATTCTTGACTGTATTCTTCTCTCTTTCCACTTAATTTGTCTACCCCTCTCCCCTTGGCTCCCCTTTGCCAATTCCCATTATCTGGTGCTTATTTTGTTGGGATTTGACTTTGTCTTTCTAAGGAATTATACTATTTGAACTCTCCATAGAGTCTTCCATGCTTCAATTAACTCATTTGTAACCATGTGCATACCCCCTATATATGTTTACTTATAGATTTATAGGTACATGCTAGCTACCACAAATGAAGACTTACTTCACTTAATACAATTTTTTCTAAGTCTTTCCATTTCCTTACAAATGGTACAGTATCAGTGTTTCTGATGGATGAGTAAATTCCCATTGTGTGTGTATGTGTATTACATTTTCTTGATCCAATTGTCCATTGAAAGACATCTGGATTGATTCCATGTCTTGGCTATGGGGAACAGTACTGCAAAAACCATGCTTGTACTGGTGGCTTTACTCTAATCTTGTTTGTGAATTATTCGATAAATGCCCAGGAATGGAATTGCTGGGTCATAAGGTAGTTCTATGTTTAGTTTTTTGAGGATCCTCCATACTGTTTTCCAGAGTGGAAAGCTTACATTAGAAATACTTTTGGCTGCATCCTTGCCAGCATTTGTTATTGTTTGTTTCTTGGTAATTGCTATTCTAACTGGGGTATGGTGGGAAGCATATGAAATATAACACATAACTATAAAAAATATGAATTGCATTATAAGAAAATGCTTAAATAAAATGGTAGGCAATGTTCTGATTAAAGAGCATCTACTATTCTAGCAATTTTCTTATTACAAGAAATAATATTTATGTCTCATTATCTTGCTTTGTTTTCTTTCTTTTTCAGTGTTCCTCTGAACAGCAGAGAGAATATCTCTGATCCCACTTCACCATTAAGAACCAAGTTTGTGTACCATCTGTCTGATCTGTAAGAGATTTTCCTTCATATATATATAAAGTTAATAACCTTTAATTAATCTACTTAGTAGAAATGCTTTTGGGGCTGGGAAGGTGGCTCAGTGCTAGAGTGCTTTCCTTGCATGCATGAGGCCCTGGATTCAATTCCTCAGCACCACATAAGCAGAAAAAGCTGGAAGTGGTGCTGTGGCTCAAGTGGTAGAGTGCTAGCCTTGAGCTGAAGAGCTCAGTGATAGAGCCCAGACCCAGAGTTCAAGACCCATGAATGACAAAAAAAAAAAACCTAGAAAGAAAATTAACTATACAACTTGTGAGTGGGGAGAGGAGGAAAAAACCAGGGGTGCCATGAAATAAATGTGCTCCTTACCTGACTTATGCAAGCATAACCCTTCTCTATTATCACCTTTATAATTACAAAAAAATAAGCTTTATAAGTGGAGTTGTGGCTCAAGTGGTAGAATACTATCCTTGTGCAAAAAGAGCCCAGGGAGGAAGTGGCGCTGTGGCTCAAGTGGTAGAGCGCTCGCCTTGAGCTGAAGAGCTGAGGGACAGTGCCCAGGCCCAGAGTTCAAGCCCCACGACCGACAAAA